ATAATGAGACAACAGGGCATATAATTAGATGATGTACTGCTTTGGCTGCTGTAGATTATAACAAGTTAAATAATGTTGCCTGAATTGTACATCAAAAGATAACTTTCAAATAGGAATTCAAAAATATGTTATCAGAAAATACACCCCAAACAGATGCAAGATGATATAAAAGGACAGCACCATGCTTATAACTCAATGAATATAGGCCCCTAATCCAGGTATTCTGTTGAGCTGAGGAATCTAATGATGGTGTTTATCAGTATCATTCTTCAGTCTGAGGAATCTAATGATGGTGTTTATCAATATCATTCTTCAGTTACAATATGCCAGGAACAAATGAGGAAAAATATATATTCACATACATTCATATAGTGTTGTGAAGTAGTAGAAATGGGCAAAGATTCAGGTATTTAGGCTCATTATCTTGAATATTTATCTAAAACTGAAAATAAAATCAATTTTAAGGAGCACTGAATGTTATAAACTGGTAAAAGATTCAAAAGGAAGTACTTGTTGGTACTTGTCATATAATCAAAAGAGCTTTATCTCAACAGCAGATGATTATATTATTATAATTTCTTAAGGAAGAATTAATCTTAGAAACGATTAAGAAAAACCATAAATGGGCCCTTGTGTACTTTAACAGACTTTCACAATACACAGGCTAAAGATGCCAGACAAAGAAATTACAAAGAAATATTAGGAAATTAGAAAAACAAATTAGGATATTGATAAAATAGAGGAAGTTGTCATGAGGGGAAACTGTAGTCCTACAATTACAGGCTTAGAATATGAACTAGATCATTCACCAATTGTCAAGTTTTCAGCACATATCCTACATAATAATACCCTCTTTATTCAAAATTTCTTTGTACTTAAGGCTCTAATAATCTGTTTCCCAAAGTTGTGCCAGGAATAATTAAATTTGGACAAAAACTACCTATGGACATTATATTCTCTAAAGCAGGGAAATTTATAGTGAGAGACTAAAAACAAATCTACATGCCCTTAAAGTAGGTAAGAAATCTCTTTTTATCTATAACTAGTAGGTGTTGTTGTGTTTGTCAGAAGCTCAGAAATGAAAGAAGGAAAAATGAAATAAAAAGCATATAATAAAAAAATTGTGAGAAAAATTTGACAATGTCATTTTCAATAAAACCAGTGATTCAAAACACAGTGATTAATTTTGTCAATCAGGTAAGTTATATATAATGAGAAAAGCATCCTCAACATCAAACAAAACAAAAAATAACCCAAGCTGATGCAACATTCTTAACTTTATATAATGGCAAGAAAATGCTTTAAACTTATAAATTAGCCATGATAATTTATAAGTCTTTGCTACTGAAAAGCAGTATGGCATGCCCTCAGTGCAACAGACGTTTTTGGCAGTGAAACCTGACCAAGAAAAATACAAATGTTGTTAAGACACAATGTGCTTCTGCCTACTGTAGGGTCTTATAAAATAGAAATAAAGGCTTATTTGATGATTGTCCTATCAGAAAAACAGAAATGTTCCTTTCTGCTAATGCTTTAGGATTATATAAGGAAGCCCCAGAACACTATAGTAATACTCGGGTTGGCCTAGGGGTGGGGAGTGGGGGGGGAGTTCAGAGCAGACAAATAAATAAGAAGCTTGTTTGTAAAAGGTGATGAAATTATTTTAGCATAATGAGTAAGAAGCATCAACAAGTACCAGCATGTACCTTTTATATAACACCTACAGATAAGTGGTCACTATCATCTGACAAGTAGGGAAATCAGATATATCCTAACAGACACACTCTCTTTTTTTTAAGATTTATTTATTTATTTTAGAAAGAGAGAGAGAGAGCGTGTGAGCGCAGGGGGAGAGGGAGAGAGAGTCCCAAGCAGACTCCTTGCTCAGCATGGAGCCCGACATGGGGCTCGATCCCACGACCCTGAGACCACAACCCAAGCCAAAATCAAGAGTAGGACGCCCAACCAACTGTGCCACCCAGGCACCCCTAAACACATCCTTATATTAATGTGCCAGCCAATATTATGACTATCTTTTTAAAAATGTGGCATCATTAGCAATCCCATGTCCCATCCCTCTTTGCAGAAGCTGGTTATAAAACCTTAGATAAACCTGTTTGTTCTTTCTGCAACTCTGCACAATAAAAACCAAATCTGAAACCTGCAGCTCTCCAGTATACCCAGCATCTGGTTATATCACCATATCACCATGTTCAGAAAAGGGAGTGAGAACCTGATCTAAGGAATCTCCACTGAGGGCAGAGATAGCATAAGTGGATGAACATTCTGAGCTCTTCCCATAAGACCCAGTCAAAACAAAGAGTTTCCTATGCCTTACAATTGCTACATAAAAATTTACCAAATCACAATCTTTTCTTTTCAAATGTACTATAAACACACATAGGGCAGTTTGATCCCAAGTAAACTCAAAGTCTTCCAGAAGAAAACAGGGTTATACAACTATTATTTAATATTTTCTTAGACTCCCAGGAAAAATCAACTTTCATTCTTGGACATGACAAAAAGCTGGGAAGCTTTCTTTCTTTTTTTTTTTTAAACTGTAGTTGATACACAATGTTACATTAGTTTCAGGTGACTGGACAAGTCCACTGGGAAGATTTCTTAAGAGGATGGACCGGAAGGGAGCACATCATCACTTAGACCAGGGTAACATCAGTAGTTAGGATCACCTGCTACATAACGAAAGGCTAGCAAATAATCTCTTTAGAAAAAGAAGCATTTAAAAAATTATATATTTTTCCCAAAATTTTCAAGTTCACTATATTCAACCTACTCTCAAGTAAAGTGAGATGAAAAGCTGGTTGTGGCAGTTGCTCCTATAATCACCATTAGTCTCAGAAAGAGAAACTAACAGTTTTTCTCCCAATTATGCAAGATTAATTTAGATGAAGAGCTGTGCTCTTTCCTTAATAAGCCGTATACCAAAAATTTTACACATCATCATAAATTAAGAAGAGAATAAATAACAATACCTGCTCTCTTTACTTCTCAGATGTGTCTATGAAAAGAAAATGAAAAAAGTACTGATGCTCAATTAGAGAAACTTCATCAGAATCTCCAAGGGAAAGAACAAGAGGAGGTCTTTGTATGTATAATCTGGTGGAGGTAGATGTACCACTAACCCCAAATAATGTCAAAAAGAGGACAGAGAGCAAACCTGGAAGAGGAGAAATAGATGTGAAAGGCAGGCTTTTAAGGATGCAGGTACCACTCAAGGAAGAAAGAAAGAAGGAAATGAGGAAGTGACACCACTGCATACACATGTATATAGCTCAAGAACACAGAACAGGCCAGAATGAATGCTAATTTTAAGATCTACTGTACTTACTGCAAACCAAGAAAATAAATCCTGTTTAATCAATATTATGTGTTGTTATATAATGTGATTCATTCTTATTCTCATTGTCACTCAGAACCTCCTAAAGTTCTCACTTGTCTACCTAAATCCCTCCTAAACAATTTGTGATTTTGAATAAATTTGTTATCTAAAGTACTGAAAGTGACCTGAAGTGTGGAAAATAAGACATAAAAAATTCCCAGTAAGAAACAAATGTCTCATTTACAATCTAATCGGTCATAGTAATAAGCTTAAAAAGATACCAAATATAGAATTTTAAAAATCCCTACAAAATAATAAATCAAGTGTTCTTCACTTATGTACAAAATTCTCATAGGACATATGAGCTTTAAACTGTTTTTCTAAGAGTAGTAATACCTATACCCTCATGTATGGTCCAAAGCTGGTCAACAATACACATTTGTGAACTGCTCGGAAATGGGTGTGCAATTTGTACTCAGGCTGACCCAAGTAGGAAGCTAATAGCCTGTCTAAAAGAAAAATGAACCCATAACTTTGGTTTCATTAGCACTGCACTCTAAGCTGTTAAAGATTCAAATACTAACTTGGATTTAAGGTGGAGGGAGGCAGTGAACACTAAGAGGGAGGAAATTTGTATAGACAAGTCTATGCAAAATTTTCTATTAATGCAAACCAGCTGCATGAATAAGAAATGCAGTTCTCAGTATTTGAGCCTTGTGGAATACTAATGGGTTTTTCTATTCCAAGTTTCCATTCTGAAAAGAAGGCCCTTTAATTCATTATTCTCTCGGAGTCCCTGGCACTCCTAAGAACTACCTTTCTAAAATAATGGCTCTGGAGCACAAATTATGTATCTGTTAGGAGATATGTGCTGTGGCTCTGAATAGCCATTCCAAGCCATTCCTTATATGACAAGTCACGCATCCCCAAAGAAATACTGTGAAAGAAAGGATGTGAGCCATAAGTATGTGATCCATAAGGCCTCTAGCACAGCTTAACTCAAAGTTGTGAAGGTTAGAGTTCATATTCAACATCTAGGTATATGCCATCTACAAAGCACTGTGATAAACCACTGATTTATTGTGATTCACCACTGGTTGTTTCCACCATAATTCTATCCTGATTGCTACAACTTAATTCTACCATATGGTAAATATTTTCCCCCAAGCTTTGATGAATTAATCTTTCTCCTACATAGCTCATAAATCAATTTAAAAACTGTTTGCATGTAACCACCTTAATACTGAATATATGCCACCACCTGCCTCCAACACCAGTGACAACAAAAGTTATACATGCACATATGGGCTTTGCTCTCCTGACAGAACTACCAGCTCTGCCAGTATAATATTTGATTTGTACAGAAACTGTCTCTAGGAAATTCATACAGTGGCTTTATCCATAATGAGGAAAATCACTCACATAAGCTTTTAGGACTGGAAATAGAGGAATATCCATTTCTCATGCCAATATAGCTCAGAAATCTTAGGGGGTTCAGTGGAAGACAATACATAATCCCTAGCATCCTGAAAGTTGAATAAAATTTCTGTACAAGATACCTCTGGCACCCCAGACAAGAGGCAAGAATATCTGCATCAAATTAACATCAACTTAAAAACCATTATAAAACTGGTTTTAAAAGGAAAAAGCAAGAACAAACCTCAATTTTGTCTGTTTTGGCATCTCCCCAGTATATTTTGCCTTCATCATAATCCAAGGCTAAACCATTTGGCCAACCAAGAGAAGTGTTAACCAACACTACTCGGTCGGAACCATCCAGAGCTGCTCGCTCAATTTTCGGAATTTCTCCCCAGTCAGTCCAATACATGTACCTGTAGAAGTATACAGAAAATGAGCTAAAAACAGATAATAAACTGTAACCTTCAGATATTCTAAAGGTCCACCACTCACATTACACTGGTATCAGTTAACACCATGGAAGGAAAAAAAACAGGACTTAAACATACTCAAAATTTATGTTTAAGACATAATAGCAGTATATACATGCTTGTAGGAAATTTTCAGATCAGTGTTTTCTAGAACTGATCATAAAAAATGCCTTCCAATAATGATTCCACTTTTAGTTATGTTTCTTCAAAATATTTTGTGCTCCTTCCCACTAACAGTCATCTCTTTTTCTTAACTTTTTATTTAAGTAATCTCTACACCCAACATGGGGCTTGAACTCATGACCCCAAGATCAAAAGTCGCATGCTTTTCTGACTGAGCCAGCCAGACACCCCAGTCACTTTTTCTTGCTGGCTTCTCATCTCTGACACAAAAAGGCTATCCCAGTAGTAATATTCAGATGACAAACTGAATTCCCAAAATAACTCTTTCTGTAGTGCTCAGTAATTGCTGTGGTTCCTGGGAGTTTAAGTGATATACACTGAAGTGATATACACTGAAGTGTAATAATTTGTCACTATGTTCACCCTTAGAATGAATCTCATAGTAACAAATAACATTGGTGAGTATACAGAAAGCTGTGTTTTTCCCCAAACTGCGGTCAGAGTGTTATGACCCAAAAAAAAATTCAAGTCATTCACACAATTTGGGATATAAAAAGTTCGATATATCCTTTACCATATCATTCTAGAAGAACCAAAAATGGGATGAAATTAAATCTTCTAGGGGAAAAGAAAGAGTTCTGAAAATAATTTCTTTCCACATTTTTCATGGTCATGATGCAACCTCAGCAAAATCTGTAGCCAACACCCAAGTCAGCAAGCATTGACTTAATTTAGAAAAAGTATTCAAAACAGTCAAGGAAAAAAAATTAGCAATTCTTTAACTTGAGATTTTATTCCAATCACTATGTTCTAAAAATGAACAGCCACTGATGAGCTGTTTATTGAAAACCAACACATACTTCATATTGTTTTTGTCAATGTTTTCAGGAACCTGTAGAAAACAGAAACACCAGGCAAAATTTTCTATCAGCAGAGCTTCTTACCCAACCATGGGATCTAACACAATAGCCCGGGGTTCCTCTAAGTCCTCTGAAATCAAGATCTTCCTCATGGTCCCATTGAGCCTTGTCACTTCTATCCGATCAGTGCCTGTGTCTGTCCAATAAAGATTTCGGGCAACCCAGTCAACAGCAATGCCATCAGGATGCGCAATTTGAGCGGTGACCACAAACTGACTGCCAGATCCATCTATGAATGAGCGGCGTATGGCCCTCACTTCATCATCAGTCCAGTAGATATAGCCTTCCACAGGATCATAATCTATGGCAATGGCATGACGGATGTCTTCCAACTGTAAAACAATGTCTGTGAAATCTGGTGTATCCAAAGAAATGCGTCTCAAGTCTGTCCTTCGTGCTAAAAGCAGTAATTCAGTGGCACCTAGAACAATAAAGTGAGATAAATGAAGAAAAAATTCAAAACCACAGGCAAAATTTAGTCACTCTAAATAAAGAATGCAGAACTTCTTCAGGAATTGAAAAGTAAAGGAGTATAAAAGGATACTCAGGGTCCATCTAGGGTGGAAATGGAAAGTAACATAGTGAACCAGGAATAGCTTGACTATGAGATCAAGCTCTATAATGGCTCAGCTCTCCAAATCAAGTTTTGATTCCTTCTCTGGTTCATTTGTTATATAGCCCCTGAAATTAATAACAGCTACTTAAAGGTATAATGAAGAGTGACTATGTAATGACTAAGAAGTTGAGTAGCTGAGTATTAAAGGAAGAAGGAGACACAGGATATAGGTCCTTTGTTTGAGAAGTATGTTTACAAAGGTAAATGAATCCAAGACAAAGATCTTTTGTGTTTGATGAGAATGTTCTAAAATTGGATTGTGATGGTTTCACAACAGTAAATTAGTTAAAAACCACTGAACTGTACACTTGAAATGACTAAAATTTATAACACGTAAATTATATTTCAGTTAAGCTGTCTTAACAAAGAGAACTATAGGGCAATGCTTGACATAACCAATGACAGAGAGAGCTATGGTGAAGGAAAAAGCAGCTGCAAAGAGAGGGAATCAGATAAATGTAACATAATGGTTAAGAGTAAGAGTTATAGATCTGACAGAACTGTTGGATTCAAGTTCCTATACAAACTTAGGCAAAACTTCATCTCTCTAGTTTCTTCATTTATATCTCACTGTGAGGTTGCTGTGAGGATTAAATAAGATCCATGTAAAATTCAGAAATGTACTGAACATATAAGTATTTGATAAATATTAGCTAATATATTATTACTATCATTAGAAAAGAAACACCTTCAAATTTTTATTTCACTGAGTTTTAAATCAGATTTATTTATGAAATGTTTTTTTTTTTTTAAAGATTTTATTTATTTATTTGAGACAGAGAGAATGAGATACAGAGGGCATGAGAGGGAGGAGGGTCAGAGGGAGAAGCAGACTCCCTGCCAAGCAGGGAGCCCGATGCGGGACTCGATCCCGGAACTCCAGGATCATGACCTGAGCCAAAGGCAGTCGCTTAACCAACTGAGCCACCCAGGCGCCCTATTTATGAAATGTTTTTAACTCAAAGTAGTATTCAATAAAAAGACAGCTAAGAATGAGGACATTAAGCTCAATCTTTTTTTTTTGTTTTTATTTTTTAATGTTCAAGTAAAGAACCAGTAAAATCATCTAACTATAAAAGATAGTAAGCAAGCTGACATCTGAAAGAGTGAAAAAAGATTCCCAAAGAAGTGAGTCTAAAAGAAAATACTGGCATTTAGCTTCACATCAATCTGGAATTATAGTTGAAAAAACTGAGAAGAGGAGTAAAGCTCTCAACAACAGCTTTTTGACTCAAGGACTAAGTATAGATGAACTCGATCTTAGAGAAAATATAGCCCTCAATACCACAGCAGGCACCAAAGCAGGAGTAACTTTGTACCATTCGCTGCCTCTGCTAACTACCAAAAGGAGCCAGCCCCAAAACTCTGCAAACAAAGAAGTCATAGAAAGTGAAGCTGTTAATTTGAGCAAGGTGATCAAAACAGAATAGTTAACTTCAAGCTACTACATGTAAAATGTACAGCTAAAATTCAAAATACTAGTTAAACATGTACATTTGCCCTGCTGTGAGTGAGTAGACAAACCACTATTGCTAAAATATTAAATCCTATGTTTTAAAGTCAGGCTACATTTTTAAACAAAAAAGCAACATTACAAAAACCTTTTGTTTTAAACTGAAACCAAATTATTGTTTGCCATGGAAACCATCTGACAAGAAGAGTCAGCCAGCTTCACCTTTGACTATGAGGATAATTTATCAATGCCAACTCATGACAAATAACCTGTACACCAGTCAATTCCATCTCTCTGACTCCCTGACCCCCTTGCCCGGAACTCACTAACCCACTCTGAAATAAAGGCTTCTGCTTTTCAGAGTTAGATAAAGAAGCCACTGCTAAATGTAACAATTTTCTTACCAGGTCTTGCTGGTGGCTAGAAAACCAGATAGTGATCGGTAGGGGTAAGAATGAAGAATAATATTCTCATTAAGAAGAAAAAGAGAAGAACTGGTGTTCTCCCAAACCAGAAGTCCCTTGAAATGTCCTAAATCAACGTATTTGTCCAATATGCCCTATTCTATAGGGAATTAAGAGAGTAAGGAGAAGAGGCAGTGGGTAAGCACAGAATGAGGTTGCTTTAAAAACAGAATATGGAATTTTTTTTCTTCTTCTGAAAGCACTTCTCTGTTGTTAAAAAGCAATTAAAAATATCATTCAATAATTTTTTAGGAATATACCAACCCGATGATAAGTCGTTATAGTTGAAAGTTTAGTAAACACTATTTCCTTGCACAGAGGTCCTTTATTTACAAATGCTACCTACTGTTTAAAATAAATTCTTTAAGAAAAGTATATTTTCACAAGAATCAATTGTGATATCAATGACTGACATTACATAAAAAAGAAATAGCACCTAATTTTTTTCAAAAACAGCATGTTAAAGATTTAGTTAAAATGCTAAAATAACTTATAAAACAGTATTAAAGAGATGCCCTAAAACACAAAACACCCCTGTTATAGAACTGATTGTGAAGACAAAGATAAAGCAACTAGTCTCCCCAACACTGTAACCTACAGAGCTTATTATAGAGAAACAAAATAAATCATAAAGAATTCCAGTTGCTATCTGAAATTTTTCCTTCTTGGAGACCATCTTCTTACCATCTTTGCAGGTTTTTCCATTCTCCAGGAGTTTGACCCCAGTTGGACAAGCACACTGATAAAAAGGCTTGACTGGAGACATCAAACACAAGTGGGAACAACCACCATTATCAATTCCACATGGATTTGTAGCTGTCAAATATAAATCACACTGATTAATACCAATGATTATGGATGCCCTCCCTCACTCTAGGTACACAAAGGTTAACAACCATAACATGAGAACTGCGATAAACCAAATTATTACCAAATGTCATCCAGGTGCTTGACTACCAAGCCATTTGCAAGGAAGAGAATTAATCAGTGAGAACTGACTTAGCATTTTGTACCCAAAGAGGAATACACAAGAAATAAAGCAGAGGCCCCTGCCCTAAAAGAGCTTACAATCTAGTCAGTATGCCAAAATTAACTAGAAAACAATGAAACTAAGTGCTATCTTGCACATGATAGACCATCAATAAGTATAGAGTCAAATGGAAAGTAAATCACTAAGGATTAAAGAAGAAAACTTTCATGGAGGACATAGGACATGAAAGGACCTCTGAAGGATAGGAAAAATTGATAGGAGGACTTTTCAAATGTGGTAAAACTGTATGAATAAAAGCTTGGAGGCTGTACATTGGGAGAGATAATAAGGCAAATAATCTAACTAGATATATTAAGGTTTCTGTTGACTAGTAAGAGCTAAAGCTGAGTGAGCACAGAGAATGGGAACAAATTGTGGTGGAGGGCACTGAAAGCCAAGAAAAGTAATTAGAATGTTGAAAAATCCACTTTGGAAAGATTAACATGGAAAAGATACGCATAATAGATTAAGAGGAAAACTGAGAAGCAGAGATTAATTAGCACTTTTGTCAAAACACTGGAAAGGGATGGATTTAAATAATATTCATTAAAAAATCAACATAAGATGGAGACCAACAAAATATGAAAGACAAAGCAATGATAACTGCGAATTTTGAAACTAATAAAATATAAAGGATCAACAGTGCCATTAAACAAAAGCAAAAAACAAACAGGGGAATTCTCTCCTAAGGGCTAAACATGAGAATAAAAAATTCATACAATACTTTTACAAAAGGGCAACATATACATTTAAAAACATTTTTATGGACTCATGATCATCAGATTCCAATATAATATATTCATTATTTAACTACCTCCCCCTAAATGGATAGAGCTAATACAAAGCAATGCAGAATCCAAATACCCTTTATTTTTGGCTATGGAATACAATCTGAAATATACTTAGACACATGCCAGACATTTATTTATATACAAGTGCCAAACACTTAACATTCTCATATTCCTTTTAAACCTAATTCTACTCCTCTCTTACAAAATTGTTGCCAGCAGCCGAAGCCCAAGTCACTGCAAAGGTTGACCAAAAATAGAAGCAAAACTAAGAAAAAGGGCGGTGGGGGGCGGGGGGGAGCGGGGGGAGTATGCACAGAAAAAGCAGGTATTTTATTAGGCAACCTAAGGTACTTGAATTCACCAGTTAGATTCACAGAGGTTTCTATTTAAGAAAAGTGCTTGTTTGTTTTTAAAAACACATTAGAGAGAAATAATATAAAGAAGAAATGCACTTGTGTATAAGCTTAGCTATCTCAGTTTCTTATTTTATTTCTCTCTTCTCAGCCACCATAACCCCAGACCCAAACAAAGGGCTGAGGTGGCCAACAGTGATAGACAACAAGGTACAAATGGTTTAGGCTGCCATTTAACCTGAATTATATTTTGACATTCTCCCTATGTTTTATGCCTTCCTACTACCTTTGGATATGTCCTCTCTGCTCCTTCCTTCACTAAAGCCAGACATCTGAGTGCTAAAGCTATTCCAACTTGCAATTCAAAAATCAGGATCACTTACCATTTGGCTGCCTCTGCTGGCTGAAGGCATGTATATCCATGGGAGAGAAGATGTTAGAATGGATTTCACGCAGACCCTCGCCAGTGTACTTGTTGCAAGCCAAAATGGAGTGTGTATTCCAGTCAGTCCAGTACAATGTGTCCTCAAATAATGTCAAGGCAAAAGGATGTGGAAGGGAACCTTTAACCACTGCCTGCCTATTAACAAAAACAGAAAAACTCAAACATTTCTAAATTTTCTTTTATCGAAACTTGATTTTGCCCATTAAAACATCTTGTTTTCCACAATAACACACACAAATCCCAAGTAACACATATCTCAAGGTCAAACACACCTATGAAAAATAAGTCATGTGATAAATTTGAATGTATTTTCATAGTGTCCAAAACTCCCAACCAAGTACTTGGCAACAGGCCCCAGGTTCATTACAAACTAGCAGAGAGAAAGCTCAAGTACTAGCACTGCTGTCAATTCCCATCTCTGGACTCACATCTTCCATCCTTCCACAAAATTCATGTTGTTAGAAGACAGGTGGGCAAAAAGAAAAATCCCAAGGTTTAAAGTTGGCACTGTGAAGTAGTTTTATATCTGCAATAGGTTTTCCCCTTCTTGATGTGTAAAAACAAAGAATCTGAGCCTGTTTCTCCCATCATCTCATATGGTTTTGGTAAGTGAAAGTAAAAACATACTTGAGGCTAAAAAAGGTGTTCTGGTGGAGCTCTTTCTGCAAACCCCAGTCTAGCTCTGGTAAAGAATCATTTGTGCTTGCTTTCTGCTATATGGTTACTTAATCTCCACAAGTCAGGTAGCAAAAAAAACCCAACAAGTGCTGCCACAGGCATCAATGTTCATGAGACAAAGCAGACCCAAAAATCTCACAAGCAATCCATACTATATGAAAGGAAAGGCAGAGAACCTGATTAGTGCTCAACCACAGAACTTTGCAGTGTCGTGGAGAGTTATTAGTAAATATTCCTGAATAATGAACAAATCATGTTCTGCTCCAAAATAATATTCAAGAAAAAAACTCGATATTTATCTAATGTCAAATATAATATTTTCATAAATAGCCTGGGAGGGAGGAATGGAAAGTATAAGCAACTGAAGAGAAATGAACATTACATATTTTAGAGAAGATAATCCAGTTTTTAGGTCCTGGACATCACTTGATGATCTAAAATACTGAAGAGACCACCAGCATACTAAATTAAATTCAAGAGCAGTAAGATAATTTTTATCTAAGCAGAGTTAATATCTGTTATTGTACATGGAATGGTCCTAGCCTAAGGTGTTTTAAATTCAGGCCCGATTTTTAAAAAACTGAATACAAGATTAGCATGACCAGTTTACCGAACAAATTTTCTATTTTGGACACTCATCCCTACTCTGCCAGCCCACATCACCACAATTTTCTCCTCTCATTTTTCTTCTTTTTCCCCTAGCAGATTACTTTTCCTTCTCATTTCCCCAAAAGAACTGTCACAATGTCAACTTCTGAGGTGGTTTCTTCCACTTTTTAAATGAATGGCTTTTACCAAAGTGTTTATATTATTTATAGGAATGAAATCATAGTTTAAATCCAAATTTAAATAGGTCTACATATTTCACACTAAAATCTACCAAAATTCAGTAATGGTAAGAGAGTTCTGAAAAGCTGCCAAGAAAGAAGTAACACAACTGAAAAAGGAAGAATAGTAATAAATGACTTAGCATTTCATTAACCACCCTAAATAACTACAAATTCCATAATCAAATCTTTGAAAAACTCTGGGAAGAAAAAAAAGCCTTCTAAGTCCTTTATATATTATTAAATAAAAAGTTAAAATTCACTCTCTGAAGTAAACACAGGAAAACAAACAGGAACAACAAAATCCCTTCCTAAAAGATACACTCACTTTATATACTGACTAAAAACATTTATATATTGGTAAGAAATCAGACAGACCTGAGTTCAATGTCCCTCTGACACTTACTACTTACATCATTTCTGCAAACTTTATTTTCTTTATCTATAAATGAAAGATAATAATCTATCCCCATTGAGTTACTGTAAAGATTAAATGATAATATATGCAAAAGCATTCAGCATTATGCTTGGTACTTAATAAACATTTCACAAATAATCCCTCAATTTTAGGATATATATTTTTCAATATTTTAATATCCCTGAGATGGGGTAACAGTTTACAACTGAGGTGTACATTTCCTGTATTAGTCTATAAATCAATAAAAAGTTCTTAAAATCCATGTCATATTAGAATCAAGTAAATACTAGACTCTGACTTATTTATATTCCCAAGATCTCACACAATACTGTATATACAAATTAAATGGAATGATTAGACACTCAGTAAATGCTTGATAAAATTAAATATCTAAATGACATATGTAATTAACAGAGCTGAACAAAAAGCAGAATTAAGAAGGCTATCACTCATTCTTAACATATTCTTTGGTATGTATTGATTCATCCAAGCAATGGTGACTTGTTTCTGAAAATGGAGATAACTGTACATAGTCTTCACCTTTCATCTCTCTGGTTGGGATTACTAAGTAGGCCCACCTCTTGGTTTCTCCCTGAAAACATAAGTTTCTTCAAGGAGGAGTTGATCATGGGTACCAAAAACAAAATGGCAGGCAAGATGAAAACCCAGTTCCTTCAGTAGTATGTCGTAACAACAGGAGTTAAAAAATGGATCTGTACTAAGAAGACCAATGGAAAAAAACTTGAGACCGCTGTTGATACTTTGACTTAGTGCTGACAACCTCTGAGTATCATCCCCTCCCTGTGTCTGTCATTTTTAGCAGTGTACTGATAGGGCTCAATCCCACCAATACCCCCAAGTACATGAGCCACTTGCTACCTCTTTCGTATTCCATGCTTGGTGGGTGCCTCTTTCAAATTCTGCATCAATTGGACTTATCCTTTATAGAACACCTGTGCACTTGTATTCACTTTCTCTGTTTCTGGACCTCTTCCCAGAAAGCTGTCCTCTGCCCCTGTTTCAGAATTCCCCCACTTGTGTGGGTAATAAATCTTTGTTTGGTCCTACCAAAGCACTACTGTCATGAATTCTGACATGTGAACCTAACCTTGGAAGGGAGTTTCCCTCATCGTAGTGAAGCTGCTATAATACCTAATATATTGTTATATGGTGAAGCTGTTATAACACCTAATATATATACCACTGCTACCAGTGGTAGCAGCAAAGGTTTGGAAAATCTCCAGAAGCCCTCCACATGAAAGCACAACGAGGCAGCAAAACCAAAAACCCACGGCAACATTCACAACAGAGCTAAGTAAAAAAATATTACCACAAAATCCAAAAAGGTATGGAAAACTACTAACAGCCATAAGACCTGACTGGCCTCAGTACTTCTGCAGGAGGAATCAGAAAGAAAAAACAGGGCCTTCAGGAGACCTAAGAACAGGAGAACACACAAGATAGGTAACAATGAAATGTAGGGCAAACAAATATGAGAACATCAGCTGACTAGGAGGGGTTCTGGCCACTCCAAGAATGAGTGAATACAATGAATTTATGGTTGGCGCTGAAAGGGCTAGTGCACTTTAACCCACTGTGAACTCTCAAAGCTGACATTCCAGGGCTCCCTTCCAGACAAAGCCCCATACTGAGGATAAATTACTCTAAGCAGAATGAAAAATGAGAATGATAGGTACAAGAGAGATAATGGAAAAATAAGGCACAAAAAAAAGTGGGAAAAGGAATCAGAGTCAGGAAATGTCAGAAAGCAAGCTGCCAGGACAAGAAATTTTTTAAAAATAAAAGATATGAAATACAAAGGACAGGGGAGAGAACAGAATTATCCTGGAGCAAGGAAATGACCAAATGGTAACTTAAATCCTCAGGAAGAATTAAGGAGTACCAGAAACAGCAAATATGTAGGTTAATACAAAAAGACTCCAGGCACCTGGGTGGCTCAGTCAGCGGAGTGTCTGCCTTAGGCTGAGGTCATGATCCCAGGATCCTGGGATAGAGCCCCACATCAGCTCCCAGCTCAGCAGGGGAGTCTGCTTCTCCCTCTGCCCCTCCCCCCACTCATGCTCTCTTGCAAGTGCACACTCTCTCTCTCACATAAATAAAATCTTTAAAAAAAAAGACTATATAATGCTTTCTCCTTTTTTCTTTTTAACCCTTATAAAACATGTAAGGTCATACTAATAATGATTATAACATGATATTGGTTATAATAGAAATGTAATATAAATGACAATAATAGGGGCGCTTGGGTGGCTCAGTCATTAAGTATCTGCCTTCAGCTCAGGTCATGGTCCCAGAGCCCCGCACCGGGTTCCCTGCTCGGCAGGAAGCCTCCTTCTCCCTCTACCCCTCCCCCAGCTTGTGTTCCCTCTCTCGCGGTCTCTCTCGCTCTGTCAAATAAATAAATAAATAAAATCTTTTTAAAAAAATAAATAAATGACAATAACAGCAAAAAGGAAGGGAGAGGAAATGGAGACACACTAGAGTAAAATTTCTATAAAGGAATTAACTCAGTAATATCATAAAGTCGATTTAAACAAAATGCATATTGCAACCCTTAGAATAAACACTAAAACTGTTTTATTTTCAAAAATATAGTTCAGGGGCGCCTGGGTGGCTCAGTCGTTAAGCGTCTGCCTTCGGCTCAGGTCATGATCCCAGGGTCCTGGGATCGAGCCCCGCATCTGGCTCCCTGCTCAGCAGGAGGCCTGCTTCTCCCCCTCCCACTCCCCCTGCTTGTGTTCCCTCTCTCGCTGTGTCTCTCTCTGTTAAATAAATAAATAAAATCTTTAAAAAAATATATAGTTCAAAAATTGGGGCACATGGGTGGCTCAGTCAGTTAAGTGTCCGAGTCTTAATTTCAGCTCAGGTCATGATCTCAGGGGTGTGATATCAAGCCCCGAGACAGGTTATGTGCTAGGTGTGGGGCCTGTTTAAGATTCTCTCTTCTTCTCCCTCTGCCCCTCCACACTCTCTCTCCCACTCTTAAAAAAAAAAAAAAAAAAAAATCAACAAATCAACAAAGGAATTATCTACTAGAAAATATCTACTTGGGGCGCCTGGGTGGCTCAGTTGTTGAGCGTCTGCCTTCAGCCTAGGTCATGATCTGGGATCATGATCAGCAGCGTTGGGCTCCCTGCTGCCGGGGAGGAGGGGAGCCTGCTTCTCCCTCTCCCTCTCCCTCTCCCTCTCCC